CCTAACCACAATGTCTCCACTTCTTTGCACTCTAACTGTAATTGCCCGAAAAGAAAGTCCAGCTTCCCGAAGTCCCACTATACGGCCCCTATCAAACTCACTAAGTTGACGAAATCGTACAGGTCTCCGTACTCTAGGCATCGTAACCGATCGTAAAGGATGTCAAGAACCAAAATCCGCCAACGTTGATTCTTTACTGCGGCTGAAATATTCATTTTTAGAGCGTTAGTGAATTAAAAAAAAGCAGTATAAAAACCGGAATGTAAAACTGATAAGGCTGAAAATTTTTTCACTTGTTATTTACAGTAAGATAAATACATTCACCAACTTTTATCAAAATAAAACCATTTAAACTGGGTGTTCGGATTTATATGTCACTTAGTATATTCAATTGTTTATCCGGAAATAACAATTCAAGTGCAATGACGCTGTATTTGCTACCTGTGTGCCATGAATACGACAATTTTTTCATAACTTTATCTATGGCTTTACCTCATTTTTTATCAAACGCAAAAAGGTGGCTCATTAGCACAGCTACAAAGGATTTTTTTTCATAAATAGTTATTTTCAATAAAACAATTTTATAATTAACGTAATAAATATGATTTTAAAAAACTTTCAATCTTCAGTAAAATAACGCACTGCTAACTAACTATTATATTATACATTGTATAATCAAGAATTAATGAAATATGTTTCAATTTCAATAAATACCTTTTAATTTATTAAGTGTTCGAAATGAGCACCATTTTGTCATTGGTAAAGTTACTCTCTATTGTTTTGCGTATTACATTTTGAAGATACATTGGTGTAATATTATTAACGGTCGCCCTCACTTTGCTTTCCAAAGCGTTCCGTGTCGCTGACGGTGTATTATATATGTTAAACCTCGTTTTTCATTGCTCCCCATAAATAAAATCTAGGGGTGTGAGATCAGGTGAGCCAAATATTTAAATAAACAAATTAATTTCGATAAAGGTTTTGAATAATCAGTTCTACGTACCTTGGAGGCCATCTAACTGGTCCATTATTTTCAATTCCGTTTCCCCGTAGGTATTATTCAAGAAGGGTGATATCTCCCGCGTTTATATTTCTCAAAGGCATTTCATCCAGAAATTTTCAATTTCAAGAGAAAGAAACTGCAAATATCTTTCTCCTTTTAAATGCCCTTCAAAAATTAGGGAGCCTAGAATCCTGTGTCCTAGAATTTCCATTCTACAATTGAAACCAAAACGTCCTTGGAAATTTCCCTGTTCCATTAAGTGCAAATTTTCTTTAGACCAATATCTCTTATTATTTCTGTTAAAAACACCTAAATTTGTTAAACGCCTGTATAAATAGTTTTATAAGAAAAGTGTTTTCCTCTTGGTATTTTTGTAGAAACCAGTTGCAATATTCAAGCCTTCGTTCACTATCAGCTTCCTAAAGATGCTGGTGTAATTGATAATTGTAAGACCGGTATTTATAGGCTTACGTAAAATTCTCCACACGGCATTTTTTTTTGATATTTGGCAAATTTGACAATTTTTCTAGTTGAAGCATTTATATGGATCTCTAGATACGCCAAAACATCGATCTCTTTGTCCTCGTTCACAATAAAAGCATCATTTTCTGCCACTTCACTAGGCTCATTTCGAATTTTTGAAACCAATTTTAGGAAGTAAGGCGGCATTGGATGATGGCGCTCGGGGAATCTGGCAAAAATAAAAAGCATATCAACTTGATCGCATTTTGTAGAATTCTGTATGGTTAATTATTAAGCTAGGAAAATTTTCAGAAGGAAGGTGAAATCGGAAACTGAATAGTCGTCATACTACAAGGTTAACAAGTCTATATTGTATTGGCCAAGAGCGCCGAGACACAAAAAAGCTATTACGGGATGCTATGAAAAATGTATGAAGTAACCCGCCCAGCTTGTTTTCTTTATTTGAAAAACTTTAGCTCACAGTCACGCAATTTAAACTGAAATTGCGATAAAAGTCACATAGCAAACAAGGAAATAGCGAACAAAGTTAGAGGATTTTATGTAGAAATGAAAACCAGAAAAATATATATATATATATATATAATTTTAATCGTTATAACAAGAGTTTTTTTAGAGTAGAATAAAGAAATACGACATTGTAACAAAACAAAACAAAAACAATCGTATCAAAAATAACAATGTATTCAAGAATAAATCACTATCAGTCAAGCACATGAGAAGGATTCATGTGGAGCGAACTCCTGCTGTCAAAAGAAACCGACTTGCTTTTAATGCGACCAAAATCTCTTTAAACTATTCCATGAGTCCTTGAGAGACTTTATATTTTATTGAGGTGGTTGAAGAAATCACATATCATTGCCTGTCAAAGGTAGCGCTTCAACTTGTACGTAAGTGGCTGATGTCGCATTAAAATGGTCACTGATATTGAGCGTTTGAAGCTCCGTGATTTCCTGCATGTGCCTATAATACTATCAGGCCCTCAAGGCTTTACCATTTATTAACGTATTCCACCATAAACACTCTCCCAGTTATTTTAAGAAATCCCCGTACTACATTTGTGTCATGGTATATAACAAACTACCAGTAACAGTACAAGAAATCAGTAATCAGTAATAATTTATTTAAAAAACAAGTGAAGAAAATTTTGATAGATGAGTATGTGGAATGCACAAGTCTATGACTAAGAATTAGTGTTGCTACATTAATATCAGTTTTATATACACTATATCATTGTTTATAATAATAAGTTGTAATTGTATCTAAGTGGTCAATGAAGTGATGAAGTATAATGCTCAAATGATCAATATTGAAACCTTGCATTTAAAAGTGCGATATCAAGTTCAAATCAGTATCAGACTTCTGATGTAACCGTAACTGTAGTTACTAACTTAGTCAATCTAAAAGTATAAATATCATAAATAAATTACATGCAACATTTTTTCCAACAAAGATCAAAAACCTGTATTCCTGGGTTTCCTCTACCTATAGTAAATGACATTTGATATAATCGTAAAACATATACATATCGGTATTTGATGAATAGAACAACAAATTTCATTTAAGGCAGCAGCGGTGTCCGCAGTAGTAGACTCTTCGGTCTCCTGATCAGTCGCCGTGCGCTGTGCGGGTTCGAGTCCCGTCCCAGGAGAAATTTTTCTCTTGGCTATGGATGTTGTGATTGTCCGTAGGTGGTAGACGGTCTCTGACTGTCGAACGTGGAGGTACCACCCGGCGGATCTCGTAGGCGGAGCCAGAATGTGTGCATGTTGCATGCAAACGTGTTCCCTCGCCAGAGTCCGTGTGGCGTTCCCCCTTTCCCATGTATCCCCCTATAGCCCCACGGTACCTAATGGGTGTTTAGGCCTTAGGCCTTCGTGGTAGTTGGAATATAAAAAAAAATCCTTCGCATCTTTGAAAATCAGCGAAAAAATCGCTTCAAGTAAGCTGACTCTCAACTTGCTACGCAACGCCATCAACAGTCCGCGAAGGATTAAGCTTAGCACAAGTTAAGCCCTCTGAGAAAAAATTAGTCACGAACATGTAGAAAAATTAAATGGATCAAGTCAGTCAAACAGTCCCATACATTATTTCTCTCACTACCGGTAATTACCGTCCATCTGGCAACGTTTCCCCTTCCCATATCGTCGAAACAATCGGGCGGAACAATCGGGCAGACCGTTACGCCAGGCGCTGTGCCCAGAAAGCAGAAGGAGACACGTACCGAAAACATATCTCTATCATTTAAAGGAAAATGGGCGTCTTTATTGACAGAATTACAAAAATTACATCGGACTAATTAGATAAATAAAATAACGTCAACAAATTTGAGATATACTCTTATTCCCTCACAATCCCCAACCCCCAAACTTTCACCCCTGATTTTTTTCTAATCATCAAAAAACGACATTTAGACGATTTTTTTTTCGCTTATGATCTTTTTCTCCGCCGCCACTGGACCGATTTTTCAAAAACTACAAGGCCTTTCGTCCTTGTCGTAGTGGTAACCTTGCGTACAAGGCCAAGGATTACCGAACAAACCGACAGACAGACGGAAATGAGTGGCATGGTTTTTTGTACTGTGCATCCAACATCTCATTTTCGAAATTTTTCGATATTATAATATTTTTTCGCCCAGTAGCGTACTGTTTCTACTGTCGGTACTTTCTCCGAGTAGAAGCAACTGTACTATTGTTTTCAGGCAATAAGCAAATATGCGAAAATGCAAGTCTAGTGCGGAAAGATTCTATACCTTTCCAATCTTATCAACAAACTCGTACTAGGTAGAAAGAGTGAGCGAAAGATTTGCTTTGAAGCAAAATTACGTAAGGAGCACATACTCATACTACAAGTCGATCAGACTAAGCCGTCATTTTTCACAGTTGACGATATTTCACATTATTCGTGTTTTTCTGTGAAAACACATGAAAGTGAAAGGGTTCCATGCAATCCTATTGCTTCCAACAGTTGTCAGTATTGTAGTTTGGAAAAGGCATCAGTGGCAGAAACGTGAGAAGTACCTACTAAATGCATATGTGATTTCATTTGACCAGAAGATCATGGAACTCTATCAATATGAAAACCGCAGGATAAGTTTCAAGTGTTACATTAACGCAGATAAATCGCTAGTTACTTTTCTGCTACATCGACGGCTTTGTGTGAAGTACAAAAGGTACTATAAAAGTCTTGCAATACAGCTTTATTTATTGAGTTTGTTCAAAGTAATTTCCACCGCATTCTAAGCACTGGACTATGCTTAAACCACGCATAAAGTTATACCGTAAAACTATAGTCCGCACTTGACACTGTCAATAGGAATGAACAACAAAATCAATAGACGTGCCGTTTGCGGCTACTATGCACTCATGGACATGTCTCAACATGCAGCCTCTTGCGTCCGTTTGTTAAGTCATATTGCAAAACTTACTAACTACCCTTTGTATAGAGCGCAAAGTATGGTTTGATTATCAGAAACAAAGTGCTGGATCAGAGTGACAACTACATCAAAAGTTCCAACCTGTTTATGTATGATCCTTTTAACTCCTCTAACGTCCCCCTGCTGCGCGGCGTACATGAGCGCCGTGACGGAGGCGCCCCTACGCGGTCGGCGTCGTTTGCGGACTGCGGCGATGGCGGCAATCGGCGTCCCCGGAGCGCGTGGACGCCGCGAATGATGTACGACGGATGGTGGCGCTGGCGTCGGTGGAGGAGGGCGTCTCATCACGGGGGCTGCCACGGGCGCCGCCCAAAGCGGGACGTGTCAGGGGACGTATGAGCACCTGCAAATAGAAAAGGCGTCAAGTAGATTGACTCGATACTTCCCACGCCTGAGAAACAGCTTCTGGTATTTTCCATGTGTTCAGATAAATCACCCTGTTAATTAATCCGTAAAAAATGAATTCAGAACTTTTTAGTTTTCAGTTATAAAAGCGCAGTAGTATGTGTTTTTATATTTGTTCACAGTTACATTTTAAGTTACAAGTGCACAAGTATTACGTAACTTGAAGAGTGACAATATTTCGGTTTTTTCTTGACATTATTTTGTTGTTTTTTTTTTGACATTATGTAGTTTTTTATGACATAAAGTAGGTTTTCGAACGCCAACCTGGAACTAGGTGTCGTTCACTTCATGCTCACTAGTAACAAATGCGGAACGAACTATTTGTCTACTTAGTATGCAAATGGACGTCTTATGGTTTTTATTTGACATTATATAGGTTTTGACGATACCAAAGACATGTTGACAAATACACATAATAAGTGAATTTTCTCGATATCAATTTTTATGAAAATATTGTAGTTACAAGATATGGATGACACAACAGAATAAAAAGTGAAAGTAAGTAGAGTAGACTGATTTCTATTCGACGTAGTATTGGAATTCCTCATAAAAGCACATATAGTAAATTGACAAATATGGTATCCTGGTAAAATATAGATACGGTAGAAATATAAGTATTCAAGATTAAAGCAGTATAATGGGCGTTTCATATTCGACCCTCACCATTGGGATCTCGGAAATGGGAACAGATACGAAGTCGCTTGAATGAGAGCAAAGTTGCGTATTTAGATAACTAACAATTTTTTTTAATGTGCGCTTGTATATTAGAGGTATTAAATCGGTTGACACACATTATAAACTGTTGCTTAGAGAAGGATAGTTTGCCCGACTTTGGAGTGTGTCCTTTACCTAAAATACATGCTGCAACTGAGCTTGCTGATTTGAGACCTTAAGTCAACTTACGAGTTCCATTCAAATTGTTAGAAAAATAGTTAAAGTGCAGTTGAAGCAGTATTCAATTGAACAAAATATTCTCCCTAAACACCAGTCGGATTTTAGGGTAGGTCTAATACAACCACTGCTCTTTTAAATCTTAATGATGAAATTATACAGTGCCTAGATAAGAAGCTTGCCATTCTACTTATATCCTTGGATTTTGCATAATCCTTTGACACCATTGACCATTCAGTTACGCGCACAAAACTCTATTATTGTGGCCTTGATCATACGGCATTGAACTTATTTCGCTTCGTAGGGAAAGCGTTATTCGACATAATAATAGATCCGAGATAACAACAATAACATTAGGCGTTCCTCAAGGTTCCGCTTTAGGGCCGTTGCTCTTCATTACATAGACAGCTGACATCTTAAGATCTGTACAGTACTCACACATTCAACGTTATGCTGATGACACGCAGCTTCTGTTTCTTTTTGAACCATCTCTTATGGAATAGGCAAATGATTTAATCAAACAGACTTACAAACAGTATATAATACTTGTAAAAAATACAATTCTAAACCAAATGCTGATTAAACGAAACTTGTGCCTTCCTGTTTTGATCACAAACGAGAACACTTTAGCAGTAGTCTGAGCCTTTTCATGAATGAACAACAACTTCATTTCTCAACAAGCTGTAAGATACTTGGTTTGGTCATAGATTGCAGAATAACTGTTTTGTTATAATGGCTCAAAATCAATTTTATGATCCAATATTTTTACTTAACAACAATTGTATTAAATTCTAAGAACCCTGTATATTTAGTAGGAAAGCTAGCCCATAGGTCGAGTATACATAATGTCAATATAAGATATCAAAATTATCTTATAATGCTTATGTATAAACATCACTCTTTTCTATAGAAACAGTTCTGTTGGCGCCATCTGTTGGAGACTCTTCTACTCACCAGAGCTTCATAACCGATATCTGATTTAACGCGGATCACGACCGCACATGCCGCTTGGCGACATCTGTGAGGACTGTGCCAGTAAATCGCCTTCTAGATCGACGCGAAGCGACCTCGACGATTCTGGAAGGCCGTTATGTGGCTCCCAGGATTCTTCTCGACCCAACGATGCGGACTATATAACTCGTTATTTGCATTTCTTTTTGTGGAATCCAGTATTTTAATCCAAACCCAAAAGAATCCAGAAAAACGGTACAATAAGATCAATGAATAAACGCCCTTTGGTTCTTAACAGTGTGATCCATTACCATTCTCTTTTTCAAGATTAAATATTACAATCATTCACTGTGTATGTAAAATATTATATTTGTATGTCAAATTAGCATTAAGCTTTAAGGGTTGAGTGTGTAAGAACAGCTTTGCTAATAAATAGGGTTTTTAGTGATAATATCGAAAATGTATGCTATTTCATACATTGACATTGCCAAACCTTAGTTATTCCAGAGAAACACAAGTTGCTAGGTAGGCCTTGAAATTATCAGATAGTTATTTGTTTTGTATACTAAACCAGACCGTAAATTATTATTTTTTTTTATACTCCAACTACCACGAAGGCCTAAGGATTAAGCACCCATCGGGTACCGTGGGGCTATGGGGGATACATGGGAAAGGGGGGACGCCACACGGACTCTGGCGAGGGAACACGTGTGCATGCAACATGCACACATTCTGGCTCCGCCTACGAGAACCGCCGGGTGGTACCTCCGCGTTCGACAGTCAGAGGCCATCTACCACCTACGGACAATCACAACATCCATGGCCAAGAGAAACATTTCTCCTGGACGGGACTCGAACCCGCACAGCGCACGGCGGCTGATCAGGAGACCGAAGAGTCTACTACTGCGGCCACCGCTGCTGCCTAAAACAAACACACAACATCCATGGCGAAGGCGAGATTCGAACTCGCGGCCCGGCCGGCCGACTGATCAGTAGCACGACACTCTGACCTACGCGGCCAACCGAGGTCCCAGTCACAGTCACTGAGTTTGGAAGACTGAGAAGAAGAGAAATAAATCAAGCAGTGAACAATGTACAAAAAAGAGTCAGGCTTTCCCTACAAAATAGCTGGGCAACATTTTGAACATCTGCTATGATTTATCTCTGTATATTTATGATTATTATTGATGGTTTACCATTAATAAAGTTTTCATTTTGTGTTCAGGTTGTACCATACATTTTTATTTCTTTATATCTTTTATCCAACAACAAATTGATTGCCTACTAAGGAAATACACTGAAAAGTCCATCTAAATGTACAAAATTCCAATATAACGTCCGTATGACAAAATATGGTGATGGAAGTCGAAAAAACAATTGTCGAATTGAAAATTTGACTACGCCATCTTGCACAGGAGAATAAGTAACAATGACCACATGAAATTTATTCTGAAATCCCATTTTCGAAAAAATAATAAGGAAAAGGGCGATCTTGGGCCTTCTTTGCATTTTAGTAACAATAAAATTGTAGGAAGTCCAATTTTAAGAAATAATATCAGTCGTATGTTCCTATGATGAAAACATTTATAAGCAGTTACATTTTTAAAAAAGTATTTTTTATGTGTGTGCCTTTACTTGTTGTGATGCAAAGAGAAGGCTTGTACCAAGGTTTTTGGATAACAAAAAATATCAATTTGCTTATCAGACCTACCTAAATGACATACATAAAACTTTTCTCATTTACCTCGATGACGTCACGTACATAACGGTCCTACTACAGGCATTGGTGCTTTCACTCTCTCTTCTACCGACCTCCCACTGACAGCTGGCCCAGTAGTAGAGCGCGATAAAATAAAGCAAAAGTGGAATATTAGCAGGGTAAAAGATTGTTTGCAGTTGTTGTATGCATCGCGTGCCTTAAACTCTCCACTTCTCTCTCCTTCCATCGCCTACTTTATGTCGGCACGAAAATCGTTCGTTTTCAAGGAGGCGAGGCGACGCTCTGGTGCTAGGTTGCTTGCTGCATTATTGTTTTCGCAGCTTGCTCACACTCTCAGACTTTATAGTCCAGAAGACTGCATGCCATATCATCAGCCAAACATACGTTAATGATAATAATAACGCCTTTATTTGTTGTACATGAGAGGGACAAAGATAACGTTTAGCCTAGGCTACTCTTACACTCAACTATCTTTGTCAGTACATTTAGAGCAGGATGTAATGCGTTGCCTAAGATATGTCATCAAAAAAAAAATGTATAGTTATAACCAAACTATACTATAAACTTAAATAGACGACAACTATATACAGTATGTACATTCATGCCCAAATATAAATATACATACACACATACATACATATACATACTCACACGCACATATATATGTACATATAATACACATACATATACATATATACATCCACACACACATAATATTTAGATATATTTATATATATATATATATGTATATACAGGGTGTTTCAGTTTATTGTTGCATAACTTTAAGATTCGATAGAACCTTTAAAATTAATGCATAAAGTCTATATAAACATGGGTCGAAAAATGCGTGGCTTCCGAAATACAGGGTGTTTAAATTTACTTTCTAAAATAGTTTTTTTAAATATTTCGAACAATATTTGATGCATAACAGTGAAAATTGGTATACAAGGGTTTTTTGGTACGACAGAACGAACCATGGGCATAGTTTTACTGTAGCCGCTAGAGGGCGCTCTCTACCGTACCTGTAGTGTATTAAAATGATATAGTGCAATTTTTTCGTTTTAAACAAAAAACTGAATCTTCGCACTTTTCAACATAAAAAAGCTCTCTTTTGAATTTTCGTTATAGTTAGCCGTTTTTCAGATACTTCGATTTTTAAGGTTCAATGAATTTTTAATTATTTATGATAAAATAACGTTAAAAAAGTCAGTATCTCGATAATTTTTAGAAGTAGGCTGTGCCTGCAAATATTTTTGAAATTGAAAGCAGA